TCCTCATTTATAAAACAGATGGAATGCTGTCTGCCTCACACGGTTGCTATCAGAATTAGAAGAGATAAGTAACTTAGCCCTTTACCTGGCACCGTAAGCACTTCGTAAGTGGTACCCCCTTGGCACAGTGATTCTCAAGGCACGTGGTCGGTAGCTCTGCCAAACACAGGTGCCTGGGCCCCTCCCAGAGATTCTGATTTCTGTAGGGGTGAGCTCCAGCAAGTTCCATTTCTAATCTCCCAAGTGAGATCAAAGTCATCTGTTCATAGAGCACACCTCGGCCCCAATTTAAAAGCTCACCCAGCTTTTTTACACATATTCTTGTTATTTTTGTGTCACAAAGAGACTTGGGAGCAATATGTTGCTAGAAGTTGTGCAAGTAATTTATAAAGAAGTTTATAATATAAAACAGATTCTTAGATAAAAAGTCATCCACTCTAAAATGGAATAAATCTTCAATAAGATTAAGTACTTCCCTTATATACCCTACAAAAGGGATGCATTTGGGGTTAGTGAATGACTTAATAATATGCATATTGAAACTTTAAATTTAAAAAAAGGGCACATCCTTTTAGTTATTACAAACTTCTAGAACCAGTACTTTTTCGCAATCCTTCTTAAAGAAGCAATTTAGATTAGGAAAAAGGGGAAAAGCAAACAGTATGTGTTAAAAACCCTCTATCAGAAGCAAATCATATAAATCTCACAGAACCCAAATATCTAAAGAAAAGCAAAAGAAGCTCAGTTACATTTGAGCCCAGTGGGTGCTTCAGGTACTCAGTAAACTGTACCTTAAATGGTGACAAAGCATTAAAAATTTTAAAGTGAAAGAGAGAAAAGAAAATTCTTCAAAGAATATTGGTGTAATGTCTAATTCTGTAGGGATAAATACTGTTTGAGTAGTCATGGGTGATTCAGAAATTAAGATCCATTTACAATTTTAGAAATAATTATATGATAACACATGGCTGTCACTACTTATAAAATGCCTTGTTATTTAGTTGCCATAACATCTCATAGAAGAATGTTGGAGCCTTCATACGTTGGCTAAACTCTAAGTGAAAGAAGAAAAAAACTTACAGTAATTACATGAGTTATTTCCTGAGTTAATTCTTCAAAAGGATGTACAACACTTAATGGCAGTCTTTTCTACCAGGGTTCATCCAAAGTAATTTATTTGAAAACCACTCACAGGGATAGGGCTGTGGGGCACCATTTTAATAACTGACTGCGTAATTTATGCTACCACATACATCATTTCACAGAGCACACAATTATGAAGTCAATTTTTGACAGAACAGAGTTTCATTGCAACTGGAGAAATGGATCCAGCCATGGAGTTAATCTACTCTGGTTTTCAGCACAGAAAGCTCTCAGCTCTCTTTTGTTACTATGTCACCCACACTAATAGTGTTGGCATGTACCAGGTCTCTCCACTTTTGGCACAGGACAGACATTCAGACTGGACGTTAAACTTCTCAGTTGACGTATGGAGACTCCACAATTAGAATCTTCTTAGATGTCTGTGGTTTCCTACTAGGTTGTCGTATGGGCAAATATGTCCATTGCAACACCAGACTAATCTACAAGCTTCATTACCTTTTGTTATATGTAACAGACACATTATTTTTAATGTTACAATGCTAAAAAATACAAAATAATCAAAATATTGAATCAGAATCAAAATATGGAATAAGCCCCAATTATACCACCCGGGCTTATGAAGGACAAGGAAACACTAGAAATTTGGACATCTAGTCGGTTGACACAACAGTCTTTGTTTCTTTCCAACATTAACTCTTTCACCAAAATGGAATGGTCATGTTTGCCTGCATTTTCTTTCTTCTCCCTAACTTTCATATCCACAAGAAATAAATGAATGTTCCAACTCTATGTAAAGTGAAGAGACTAGGAGGTGAAAAACTTTAATCACACAGACATAGACAAACATAGACAGAGCCCATTTATATTTAGGCTTTGAAACAGTTATTTAAATTGTGATTCACAAATATTGCTTCTTGGCACCCAGTTCACATTTACTTTTTTGTTCCAAATGTGATTTGAAAGTGATTGGTAGCAAGGAATTGATTTCAAAGATGGACAAGAAAGGGTAGAAGGGTAAAAACATACAGCCTGCTAATCCAGCAGTCAAATAATTGACCCATGAGTAATTAAAAATTGGCTGAGGTTATGGAAACAAGACTCCCCTCGTGTGATGGCAGCCTCAGTCTCTTTTGTAGTATTTGGATGTGAGGCAATAAGTCCCATGTTCTGTCTAAACTGTTTGGGGACTGCTTTTAAACTCGGCACTCTTCAAAAGGTACTATGTGACAAGTTTTTGCTTCAGTGCCCTCAAATGGCACAATAGTTTCAACAAATTAGAGTTCAAGTAAGAGCTGTGGAACTTAAGGAAGGAAGGGGTTCTATGCTGTTTTTCCTTCTCCATCCATTTCTATGTCAATCTAGTCTTCTAATAACATCCAGAACAAGAAGAGCAACATGAGACAACTTCTCTTCCCCATCACTGGATTGCTCGCCTTTCCCCAACATGCAGAGGTCCCAGGGGTTAAGCGAAGGACTTTATGGATATAAGTCAATTGCATAATGACTCGAAATTTCTTCCTGGCCAAGCCCAGTACTTGTGAAATGAGCCTTAACACAGTTGTGCAATGCATTCTAGGGTCTTCATGAAATGTGTCATCCTTAATTGAAGATCAGTTACAGTGGAGAAGCATTCTTGTTTAAAAAAAATAAATCTTCATCCCTATCATCTTGTGAGAATGCTACCAGATCCAATGTGGGCTTCACTGAAGTGTCACACAGTTCTGTTCAAAATGGCAAACTTCATAGAGAATATATTGATATTCTAAGAGGTGCTGGGCTTCATGTGCAGATTAGGTTTCAAGATCTTTGCCTCCCATTAACTCCATTAGGGAGATTAACAAAAGCACATTTGCATAATCCAAAGAGCCTAGTAGAAGGAGCTATTTTAATTTTGTTTAATTCAGTCTTCCCAGAATTGTCAACCATGGAACACTTTGAGAACACTGCTGTTAATTTTCATTTTTCTTTCTTGCAAGGCTCAGGAATACATAATTTTTCTGTTTATTGCCTTTCTATAGAGAAGAATGCTGAGTGTCAACCAATCATCTGCCACCATAGTCCAAATTTACGCTACTCCTTCAGCTTCAGAGTCCAGCTATCATTTTAGAAGGGACCTCAAACACATGGATAAAGTAACTTTTAAATCAGATATCTAATATATTAAGTTTTCAATATTTACTTCTGATTTGGAGGTTTTGGAGGGAATGGGACTGGGACTTGAACTCAGGGCATGGTGTTTGTTAGGCAGCCATTCCACCACTTGAGCCATGCCCTCAGACTTGAATATATTGTTTAAGAAGATTAATTTTGGTTTTAAAAGGATATGTTTTCTCCCAAAGGAAAGATCTACATTGAAGTCAGAATATAACTACCAATTTACTTGGCAAACATAAAATTAAAGCCAGAAGAATTGATTGCATATTCTGAATAGCCACCAATATCCATGGTCCCTTGCATTGGTCTCAACTGAAAGACAGTAACTGGGCATGACTCCTCCCAAGACAACACTAGAGATATTTTCCCTCTGATTCTCAACTTCTTACTGGTTTTTTCACCGTTATTTTTTCAATAAAGTAATAGATACGCATCATTTTAAAATAAGAGGTACCCAAAAAAAATCAGCCTTTTGCCCCATCGTTCACTTTCTATCACGTCAGTTCTGTCTTCACAGAAAATGTCTGCCATATCTTTTGGATATCTGTTCAGGTTGTCACATCTGTGTGCCATGTCTATAGAAATGATATGTCTGTGTCTTAATGTGCTCACTTTAAGCGTTGCTCCTTAACACTTCCTTTATTCTTGATAAGGATTCCATTTATTTTTATTTCCCTTCCAATTTTGTTTCCTCAGGATTCCATCACAGGAAATAGAATAATTCTAACTATTTCAACAGAAAGACATTTTGTGTAGGGAATTAAGAACTTTGAAGATTATTGGAAGGATCAGAGAGCAGGGTCTCAGCTAGTTCCAGGCATAACTCCTTGAACTGGAAGATTAGTGGGAGAGTTTTGGTACTGAGGCATAAGTTATGTGCAATATAATTCACTTTTTATGAGAATAATTCTGTAAATTTTGACAAATCTATATAGCTATATAAGCACACACCATTATTTTCAGGATACAAAATAGTTCTATCGCCCTCAAAAATTCTCCTTTGTCTTTTCTTATCTCCCCTCCCCAGTCCCTGGCAACCACTGATTTGTTTCTTTTAGTTTTTCCTTGTCTAGAATGTGGTATAAGTTGAATCATACAATATGTAGTCTTTTGCGTCTGGCTTCTTTCACTTGGCATGTTTTTTCAGTTCACTCATGCCATTGCATGTATTAGTAATTTGTTACTTTTGTATTACTGTGTAGTATTTCATTATATAGATATGTCGTAATTTGCTTACCCATTCACCTGTTGATCCAGTTTGGAGTTCTTTCACTGGACATATTTCTTCATTTCTCTTAGATAAATATCTAAAAACAAAAAGAAGTTGTTGAGTTTTGTGGTAGATGTTTATTGAACTTTATCAGAACTCTGAAACTCTTCCCAGAACCCCTGTACTATTTGTGCGTTTCTGGCACCTACACAAGAGAGTTCTTGAGCACTTTACTGTCAGACTTGTGGGTAGAGTCGTAGCCTCATTTCCCTGCTCTCCAAATGGTTCTCCTTACAGGTTTGCTGTTGTGTAGCCAGCCCCAGGCCTGTTTTCTTATTATAGAACAGTAACGTAGGACACATGCAGAATGGCAATATCTGACCCCTGGTGATGTGCTGAGTACATCAAGCTCTGATGTGTAACTAAACATCCTGATGAGGGAAAAAAAAAAAACCATTGATCATGTCTTTACTGGTTTCTCACTGGATTTTAAATAGCATAACAATAACAATATTTTATGTTTCTCTTTCAGGCTATTTGATCATTCCATGGAAGGATTTAAAAACTGGGAGTTCATGACCATTCATTGTTGGGGAGAACGAGCTGCTGGTGACTGGATCCTTGAAGTTTATGACACTCCCTCCCAGCTGAGGAACTTCAAGACTCCAGGTACAAACTCCCTTTCTATTAATCAATTTTACTACTGTAGAACAAAATGATGAAATATATTTTGTTCAAAGAGTGTTTCACACTTGTGTGTTTCCATAACAAAATACCCAAGGCTGGGTACTTTATAAAGAAAAGAGGCTCATTTAACTCACAGTTCTGGAGGTTCAAAAGCTTGGTGCTGGCATCTGCTTGGCTCTGGTGACAGCCTTGTGGTGGGTGGCATCATAATATCAAGAGCACATGTGAAGATCAAGCACATGGAATGGACAAACTTTATAAAAACCCATGTGCTCAGGAAGTAGTTTACTCCCGAGAGACCCAACCCACTGTAAGAGTGCAATATTAATCCATTCACAGGGCTGGAGGCCCCAGGACCTCATTATCTTACTCTAGGTCTCACCTCTTACTGTTCCACCACCTCTATACCACCACACTGAGGATCCGGTCTCCAGCATGTATCGTGTACGTGTGTATTCATGTGATTCCTTTCATATGTGTTTTGAATTGTGTGCACGTATTCCAGCTCTCAAGATTACTGTGGGAGAAGTAATAATTTAAGGACAAGCATGCATATGAATAATAAAAGAAAAATGAAAAAAAAAAAATAAAATAAAATTAAAAAAAAAAAAAAGGACAAGCATGCCGAGCAAATACTTAGATACAAGGGTAGGACGCAACATGACAGTGATTGATTGATACTTCAGAATACATGATCCACGTCTTTTTTATTATTATTATTCATATGTGCATACAGTGTTTAGGTCATTTCTCCCCCTTCTCCCCGCCCCCTCCCTTACCCCTCTGCCCCTTCCATCTTCCCTCCTACCCCCTCACTACCAGGTAGAAACTATTTTGCCCTTATCTCTAATTTTGTTGAAGAGAGAGTATAAGCAATAATAGGAAGGAACAAGGGTTTTTGCTGGTTGAGATAAGGATAGCTATACAGGGAGTTGACTCACATTAATTTCCTGTGCATATGTGTTACACTCTAATTTTTCTCAAACTAATGTTTTCTCTAGTTCCTGGTCCCGTTCTCCTATTGGCCTCTGTCACTTTAAAGTTTCTGCATTAGTTCCTTTGCATTGAGGACATCAAATGCTATCTTGTTTTTTTTTGTTTTGTTTTGTTTTGTTTTGGGAGGGGGTTTCTTGCCTATCCTCATACCTACCTTGTGCGCTCTCACCTCATCATGTGATCAAAGTCCAATCCCCTTGTTGTGTTTGCCCTTGATGATCCACGTCTCTAGTCAGTTGGCCACACTTTCTTTGTAAACAAGCCATTCTTCACCACCTGCAGTGGGCTAAATTGCACGATAATTTCTTCACAAGAGAAGATAAGTTTCCTTAGTTATCTTTTTTTAAAGTTTTCTGTAAATTTAATTTTTCAGTTTAAGCAAGACATTGAGCTTCAGGGTATGCCAGCTAATCTGGTTACCACCAAAGAAAATAAGTGAGCCCACAAGCCAAAGAAAAGAAAATTTTGTTGATATGTAAAGCTCACCATGGTCTTTTTCAGGTTGTCTCATAACTGTACTATGACGGTAGCTCCCTCTTTATGTGAATAGATGAGCCTTGTTGATAAACACAAGATAAGGAAGCACAAATTTGGCCTTGGGTGAGAGATTATGTTGCCCATGATAGAACCCTAGTGGATATTTAGTTGAGAAAGGAAAGAATGGTTTGATTGCTGCCCAGCTTACTGCCCATCCATGAACCCATCTTCAACCATCAAGAAAAGTCTTCCGTCAATGCTCTGTCCAGTCCATCTGCAGGAAAACCAGACCTGAGAGAAATTCTAAGACTGACATCCTATACTCCTCTATTGACCACAGATAAATGAAGGTGGGCAGTCCGTAATTCTAATTCAGAATTGGCTGGCTGCACAGAGCAGAAGAGGGGCTCCAAACATGGGGATAAAGTATAGGTGTACCAGCATCTTGCCTGCTGATCTAGGAAAGTTGCCCATTCTGAGAGATCCATTTTGACCATTATGTTTTGGTTACCACCTTTCCCCAGTTTTGTGATGTGGTTCATCTGTGTGGCCACGGTAGTCTCATAATCAGAAAGGTCTAGATCTGAATGGCGAATAATGACAAGTTTTGTTAAGGAGCATCTGTGTCCAGATCACCCCCAGCATGCATCCTGAATACAATGGTGGCCAGGATTTTATCCAGAAATCAGATGTTTGTCACCATGGCAGGGTTGCTAGAGGAGACAGATTGTAGATCACAATTCCTAAATGCTTTCACTTCATCATGATCTACTCAGTTCCCAGGACCATCCTCTCTCCTTTCCTCCTTTTCAGGCTATGCTTACCATCCCTGTTATGAAGATAGATGCATAGGATCATGGCACTTAGGTGGAAGGACAGCATGGTAGCTGGGCTGTGCTGGCCTGACCAAAGGCAGTTTTTAGTTGATTCATTAGCAGATATCACTGCAGGGCTCATAGATGTCCAGAGATCCCATAGAAAGAAACCCTGTTGAAACATGGCACTGATGTACCAAAGAGTGCAGGCACCAAGAATATATTGTCTGTCAAGAATTTTGCACTGTTATAAAACTAACTAAAAGTGACTCTACACTTTATTGTCAGCAGGCACAAGTGATTCTGTGCCCCTGACAAGAGCAAACTGCTCCTAGATGTGAGCTACTGTTAGTCAGTCATTGCGTACAAGGATCAAGGGCTATAAAGAAGCCCTCTGCCCTCAAGGAGTTCGGTCTCACCAGAGCTCACTGTGATTATCTGCACTAATAATTACCTTCAGTAGCTCAGATAATCCAGCCTCTCCTATTTTATAGCATCGTCTTTCTTTATACTGTTAGCCCTCCATTATCTGCGGGTTCCACGTGTTCAACAGCCATGGATTCAACCAACCTTGGATCCAAAACATTCAGAAAAAATTACATCTGTATGGAACATGCACAGACTTTTGTCTTGCCATTCTTTTTAACAATACAGTAGAACAGTGATTTACATTTGGGGGCAGCACATTTACCCTTTAAGGAGGGTAAATGTTTAAATCCTAAATGAACAGGTTCCTGGGTAACATATGAGTGGGATGACCTATAGTGTCCTTGTATTATGTGTCCCATTGGGATACTTAAGAAATGACATAGCAAAGTAGGTTTTACTAGCATTGCTACCTCGAGGCAATCAGATAAATCGTCCATTTCCAGTAGCTTCTACTACCTGACTTAATGCACAGTAGTTAGAATTCTGGCCCTGGACAGCTCCCTGTTTGTGAACAGCAAGGTCATTAACACACGAGTCAATGAAAAGGTGACAAAGAGCTAACCAGGTATAAACCAATTGTACTCTTCCCATGCGTGTGTCAAAGGAAAATTGAATGTATCATGGAAATATGCATGGGACGGTTCAACTTAAGATTTTTTTTTTTACTTTATGATAATGTGAAAGCAATGTATATTTGGGAGAATTATGATTTTTGATATTTTCCCAAACTAACAATGCTATTCACGATCATCAGCATGCTGGCCAGTGGCAGTAAGCTGTAGTCCCAGCAAGCCATGTAATCATGAAGGGAAAAAAACAATAGCCTACAGTGTACTATGTTGCCAGCAATTTTATTGAATACTGCAATTTATTATTTTATATCTGGTCATCTCTACAAAACACCCATCAATGTGTGTACATGTGATATTCAAAACTTGATTATAAATTAGGCTTTGTGTCAGCTTATGAGGTTTAGTAGGTGTGTTAAATTCATTTGCAATGAGTTTGTCAGGGCATAACCCCATCCTAAGTCAGGGAGCATCTGGGTCTTTATTTTTCAGTGTCAGGTTCCTAAACTAGAAGTGGATAGGAGACTGTTTTACAATAAGGTGTAAGGCTTCAAGATTTGGGTTCAGAATGGCTTTTAACATTAGTCTGTCTTTTTACTGCCATTGAGAAAGTTCTCAACCCCTGTTCCTCAGTTTTTCCATCTGTATGTCCTTACCTTAGGGTTGCTGTACACATCTAATGGAATAAAACTTGCTAAGAATTTAGGACTATGTTTATTAGCATCTAGCATCAATTTGATGGTGGGCATTGATGCTAATAAATGAAAGAACCTGACAGCTGAAGGCCATCATTCTGTGAGCTAGCCCTGACCCTAGCCTTGACCCTACCTCCTGACCATGCCTGCTTTCTACCTACTAAGCCACAATAGGAGGGATTCTGCCTCTGAGAGGGGTCCCGCCTTCCTACCACCATTTTCTCATGATTGTAATGGGTTTATTTTAAACCACTTCTGTTTATGGCTGATTCCTTTTAATGTGAGTCACATTAAGCTTCATGAACTGAAGACAGTTTTCCCCCTTTTTTTAAACATTTTTGCCTTGAGAATTTTAATCTTATGAAGCTAAAAACTAAATGGGTAAGTAAGGACAGACTTAACTAAAGCAAAATGGTCCTTGTAAGCCATCCAAGAGAGGCACCTTAGGGCTCAAGGCATCCCTGACTAGCAGATGCTGTTTTGCAGTGATGACATGGTCTAGTGTGTGCTGCCCAGAAGAGAGGCCACTAGCCACCTACAGCCACTGAGCGCTTGAATGTGCTACTGTCATTGAAGGACTGAATTTTAAAACTTTAGTTAATTTTTGTTCTTTTAAGTTAAAATAGTCAAGTATGTCTAGTGGCTATCATATTAGATCACACAGTCTATGTGATAGTATAAATAATGATGAATTTTTTTTGGTAGGACTGGAGTTTTGAACTCAGGGCTCTATACTTGCACAGCAGGTGCTCTGTTGCTTAAGCCAGAGCTTAAATGGACCTCCAGTCCATTTTGCTCTGGTTATTTTGGAGATGGGGTCTTGCAAACTAGTTACCCAGACTTGCCTCAAACCTTAGTCTTCTCGATCTCATTCTCCCAAGTAGCTAGGATTACAGGCATGAGCCACTGGTGCCTGACATAGTAATGAATCCTCAATATTGAATGACTGGTTCAGGAATTAGATGGATCAAAGCCTTGTTTTAGCCTATTTATTAACAAGTCAGATAATGGTAGAGATTTTTTAAAGTTCAAATAAGACCTTGATACCTATAACAAAGCCTTCTAAAAAATTCTAGAATTCTCTTAAATATTCATAATTTGATATTCAGTCCTTGATCCAGCAATCTGAAGTATGTTTATTTCCCAGTTTTCCTATAAATGGTGATCAGATCAAGGCCTGTCCTATAGTGGATGCTCAGTAAATATGTAGAGTATGAATTATTCAAGAGTTAATTCTTCAAATGGTGGGAGATGGTATTTCTGTCTCTGGCTTTGATGCAATGGTTCCTGTTAATCTGCTTCCCACAGTTCTACTGTTGCTTTTTCTTGCATGAGACGGACTTAAAGAAATTATACAGCTAAAAAGTGATGTCTGGTCAAGGTGTGGTTTCATTATTGTTTCTCAAGGTAAATTGAAAGAGTGGTCCTTGGTCCTCTATGGCACCTCTGTGCAGCCATATTCCCCAACCAACGAGTTTCCAAAGGTTGAACGATTCCGCTACAGCCGAGTGGAAGACCCCACAGATGATTATGGTGCAGAGGATTATGCAGGTGAGCTGACTTCCAAGGGGACACCCCAAGAGGGCGTGTGTGCCATAGCACTGCACCATGTGGGTGATGTAATATATTATGATGTAATGTGTGTTATACTGTCCATATTCCAATACACTTTCTTCCATTTTCCACAAATACTTGTGTGAGCATTAGTTGATTCATATATTCTGATATCTGTGTGTGTTGTCTATAAAGCTAGTAGTCCATACCAGGATTGCACTGTGATGCATTTAATCTGTAATCTGAAGCATGCAGTTTGCTCAGAGCTTCACGTGATTTTAAACCATGTTCATCTTTGTGTGCATCTTTAATTATTACCTTAGAATAAAGTTCTATTCTCAGATTTGCTGCTTCAAAGGGGATAATCAGTCTTAGGACTTAGAAACATTTTGTCATATTGCTATCCAGACAAGCTGTGTCAGTCTACCCTGGAACCAGCTCTGTAACTGTTTATTGTACTCATCCCTGCCAGCACTGACTAGAAAGGAGAAAAAGAGAAATAAAAGGGGAGAATTTCAAATTTTATAGCTTTGACTGCTAGTGAATCTAAACTTTTCTCCTCTGTAGTTCTGTGACATAAATACAGTGTCTTTTTCCCATTTTTCTGTTCAAGGTGACAGTGATTCTATTTATAAGAACTCTATGTTTATCTTTCATATTGTTTCATATTGCTGAAAATAAGTTCTCAGTTATCACTACATTCTCAAATGTAATTTTTGTTTTGCTTTGTGTTACTTTAACACAAAACACTGTTGGAGAATGCAGTTTGTAGTTCCAGATACAACATTCCTGATTTTGAAAGGCGCAAAAGTTTTATCGTCTAATAATCCTAAGTATTTGCGTGCTTTGTTTTTTTAATTTGCCTACTAACTCATCTAGAACTTACTTTAGCTTATCGTGTGTAGTGAAAATTGAAACTATTTTTAATTACCTTCTAAATTGATTGACATCATTGCTGAGTAATTATTCCTTCTTTTTCTTTAATCAGGTCGTAACTAATATCACCTTTTCTGATTCATCTATCTAATAATTCTCAAACTGTTACCACCCATGCTGTTTTACTTATTCTCATTTCATGGCAATCTTTCTTCCTTTCTTTTCTGGGACTGGGGATTGAACCCAGTACCTATGTTTGTGTCCTATCACTGAGATACACAGTCACCCTTGATGATGAAGTTAATATTTATAGAACATTTACTTCTCATTTTCATAGAAATTATTGCTCTGCTATTCTTCAGATGAATTTTTCAAATTATTTATAAAGCTCCCTTAAAATTCCCATGGGAATTTAATTTGAATTTACATACAGTCTCATGGGGATAATTATTTTTACAATCAAACGTCTTTCTATGCAAAACATAGGCCATGTCCCATTTTACTGAAATCTCTCAATTTTGTGTAACTTTTTGTTATTGTTATATCTAAGTTATTTGAGTCTTACCACTCTTGTAATAGAAAATACTCCATTATTTCTAATTACTATATGGTGATATGCAGGAAATGTATTGATTAATTTATGTTTAACAGCTGGTTCTATACCCAAATCATCCTCAAATTGTGTTTTTGTCCTTCTGGTATTTCTGATTCCTGTCTTATTGCATGGATTACCACTTATAGGAGCATTCAGTCCCTTTGAGCTTTGATTAACACATAATGCTTATTGGGCAAAGCTTTGCCTAGTAAAGAACTATTTTTAAAAAATAGAAGTGTAATGTATCTTTAGACAGGAAGTATTTTGTCTGGGATTTTTCTCTAGGTACTGAGGTAAATGTACTTCATTAATCACCCTAAACAGAATATCTTAAGTATGCATGTAGTTCCTTTTATTCTAAACAAGTAGCAACCCAGAGTCAATAACGTGATTAGGTAATTAAGACCAACTGAGATAACCAGAGCTAGATTTTGCTTTGTTTTGCTTTGATCTTGTAACACTACTATTTATGTTATAAATAGCAAACCATTTTATCTTCTCTGACAAGGGAAAACGTATCCACAAACATAAATGGAGCACAATACTTTTTGTCTTATTCATATTCAGGTGCTGTTTCTAATTCAAATTCTGATCATATTGGAATTATGAAAACAGCTATATTCTTGTAGCTTTTTCTCAATCATTGATATTGGCACTTGTGAGAGAACAAAGACAGCTATTTCTTTATTATCCTGCAATCTACAGTGCTAGGCTACATCTGGGATGGTTTAAGATTATGAAAGAAATAACAAAGCATGAGAACCTGCTGTAGAGAGTCCTTTGGGCACATATCAAGAATAAATGTTTTTAGGGTTTTATTGAATTCTTAAAATCATCTGGTGAAAATTTAGAGCCACCCATGACTCCCTTCCCGTGGAGCTCTGATTTTTACCTTCATGTGGAAGCCAGCCTGACTAGAGGCACAGATGGCATTATCATAACCAGATCTCTGTACTGTTTCATCACATCCCAGTGACTGTGAGACCCACGGCTGACTGAACATGAACCCGTACACGGCACATCCATCACTCCCCTGGTGTATGATGGTAGACAGCTAAACTTTCCCAAATTTTACTAGCTATCGGATTTAATTTGGAGATTGATTTAAGGCTTTTGAAAAAATAGAAATAAACAATGTGTCAAATGAATTTTGCAATTAATCAGGAATTTATTTCAAGTTTGCAGCATTTCAAATGACTTATCTCCATTCAGATCAGGTGGTCAATTCAAGCACATGATTTGTTACCTCTAAGCAAAAGATTTGGGCTAGGTGTCAGGACATTTGTTGATTTTAACTCTCTTAGTCATTTCATACTTGGCAAGCAACAGTAACTCTTAGAAAATCAGTTTTTTTTCTTCAGCAAAGGGAGTATTTGACTACCAAACTTCTTTCTAAGTAATTCTTCCCCAGCTCTAGCATTCTATGTTTCTGTGATTCAACACAGTTCCATAATAACTAACAAAGACCTTATGAAGTTCAACAGTAAGTCCTTTTGATTGAAGTAAGTAGGAGTCAGAATATTTCTGGTACCTTTAACTTATGACTTGCACATTTTGTGCAATTATTTATTGTTAGTTAAAATCATATGAATTTTCATTGGCAAAGAGCTTGAAGATTATAAAATCAGATATTCCAATACATAAAGATCAAGGAAAAGAAGCAAAACCTTCTATAAGTAACCCATGGCCTTAGAAAACTTTTGAATGGTCACAAAATACTCCATCTTCCTGGCACTTTTTTCCCCTTACTGTGCATAACCTCCAGTTCTATACCAAAGAATATGTAGCCAGAGAAATTAGGAACCCCCATTACAGATCTGGATTTTTTTTAAGCTAGCTCACATTTTTTAATTTATCATTTTCTTTTGTTGAGTTGTCCACTGGTCTTTGGATAACATGCAATTTTAAGCCTATTATCTGTGCCTGAAGTACCTGCTTTGTGATCCAATACTAGCTGGTGATAACCTTTGCCAGATGCCATAACAGTGTTTCTTGCTGGCCACAGTATTTCAGAGGTATTCAGTGGTTTTAACGACCTTGGATGAGACAGGCAATCTGGTCCGGGTGTTGCATAATAACCTTTTCTTCTTTTTATCAACAACTTATCTTCTCATTTTTCTATAAATCCTGTGTTTTATTGTTATGCATATTAATTCCAGTTGATTTTTTTCTAGCTACTGTAATGGCATTGTTCATTTGGCTTCTCAAATACTTGTTAGCTCTCCCAAGAGAGTCATATATGATTTGAAGACCAGGCCATGCTTAGAATTTACATTCTTTATATTTAAGCAATTGAAGTTTTACCAATAAAAGTTATGTTCATCTCATGGCCATCATTTCTCTATCTTAAAGAAATTGTCACTGCATAAGGGGGGAAGGGAGTCCTATTCTATACCAAATTCAGGGTGAAACTGACCTGTCAGAAAGTTTTTTCCAAGTTTTCTCCAAATCTTTAATTCTTATCATCTTTTATTCTAACCTCAGGTCCCTGTGATCCTGAATGCAGTGAGGTTGGCTGTGAGGGGCCAGGACCAGACCACTGCAATGACTGCTTGCACTACTACTATAAGCTGAAAAATAACACCAGGTAGGAGAGAAGCCACATCAGATCCCCACAGCATATCCCAGGTGTCTCAGGAATTCCCAAGGGGCCAAAAACATGGAGCACACTCAGGCAGCCTCCATCTTCCCATGATCCCCCACAGACAGGCCTGAAGCTCAGAAAAGTGCTACTGGTCAGGCCTGCCTTTCACAGTGGTGAGAATATACTGAGTTACAAAATGTAAAAAGGGCATGTATGTCTTCTCTCACCAGAAGGATGGAGCAGAGGGACCAGCTATGCCCATGGTTTGTCTTCTCCAGGTCTTTCTTTTCTTTCTTTTTTATTTTATATTTGAATTAACAAGAAAACAGTATATATATTTATGCTGCATATGTTTTGAAATGTGCGTGCATTATAAAATGACTAAATCAAGCTATTTACCATATACATTCCCTCACATAGTTCTCATTTTTTGTGGTGATTTTATACCCTGGCTGTATTTACCCTTCATGAAAATGCAAACCTGGCCCAAACTCATGCTTTTCCACATTCCCCAACATGCAGAACATCAGGACATCTATGTGGCAAAGGTTCTGCTCAACTCTTTTTGGTTTTTTCTTTCTACTTTTCTTTTATCATTTTTACATTTACTTACGTGTATATACATTGTCTGCTCAACTCTTGCACTCTGGGCATTGAGGTGGACCCCTTGTCTGTGAGCCCGTTTTCTGCCTAGATCTGTGTAGATATGCTCCCCTGGGACCAGGCTGTGGACCAGTGACTGCCCACTCAGAGCCCATCCTCCCTATCTCAGGTCTGCTCTGACCCCACCAACTTTCTTCCTCTTCTTTCAGGCATAAACACACTCTAGGGAGCCTCCTTGTGATTTCTCCATACCCCAGATGCTCAGACAGATCCATGCTGGAATTTTATATTCGTCGAGGAAGGGAGTGCCTCTTTCTGGACATGCTCAGTGTGATCTCGTTCGGGTGAAGTAAAAACTATAGCATAGCCGTAGACTAGCGCTGTGCTTGTGTTCAGTAGCTACATGGTTATTTGCGTGGAATGGAAGCTAGACGAGAGATTAGAAGCTCATGTCTTTGGCAGGTATATATAAGAAGTGTGATTTGAATAGTCTTGGTAGCTTTTTTATAATCTGTGGGATATGACGGTGGAATCTCGATATAGCAGCGTAAATGTGCGTTTTATACTACTCTAGAGATGGATATAATTCGACACGTGTTTGGATATTGTGGATAATATAAATAAGTTGAGGAAAAAGCGAGTCGAAGCTCAAGGCGCACACTCACACTCGTAATGGCACTGAGTCACACTCGGCTGTACCTCGGGGAACGCGAAAAGTGGAAGGACACGTTGTTTGAAGGAATTATATTTGAGTTAGACGGACTGTGATAGGGAGAGGTGAGTTCGTTGTGCATGACATAGACATAGCGCACTCGTGCGAGACCAGTAAGTTTTCAGTGAATCGTCTTAAGGATGCCCGCGCGGACCAGGCCGCGCACGATCAGAGGATACTGTGTGTGAGGATGGTGGTTGCAGATGATTATGTGAGATGTACGCTATTTGTCCATGCACTGAGAGGGAGGTTTAGATGCACACGCACCACATGTTGTATAGATAAGGTGTGTGGTACGCGTAGCAGTTAGTTCGATATTTAAGTTACTTCGCTAGAGGACTCGTGTGAGACGGTGAGAGACTATCGACTATGTCGCTCGGGTGAGGAGTTGGAATTTGAGACTCATAATCGCTAGTATAAATGCTGCATGGGACTCGTGGGTGATAGCGACGTAGAGTGCTGGCCACATACACATCGCGCACACACGAAAGAAAGGTCGTGTGTCGAGTGGAAGTGCTCATTTTGGCAAAGCCCGCTCTCTAGATGATGGGAGAGCTTCACGCTAGGAGTGAGTGGATGTATGCTCTTCTGAATGAAACTCATGACATGTGCGTAGGATTATTAAGGTATAGGGGGCGATTGGGCGGCCTCCCAGGAACGACGCTGAGGTGTGTGACTTCCCCACGAGTAGTTATGAGCCGTAGGATAGAATCCCGGTAGCATTATCTCTCTGTGAGAGTGAGGAATGTTCTCTTTATGAAATCTGGACTTTGCTTATTATCAAACAGTATCTAACCAATTGATTTTAAGAGAGCATTTAAAGTTTTACATAAAATATCTGTAAGTAGCTATATCAGAGGATTCTTATGTCCGCCCCCAGGTACAATGATTTGCTAGGATGCTCACTACACTCAGGATGCAGTCACACTCTGTACACACAGGTGCAATTTATTAGAGCAAATCAGCAGAGGGAAACCAGGAAGCCCAGAGGAAACCAGATGCAAACTTCTGAGAGTGCTTTCCCAGTGGGGCCACATGGGACCTGTTTAATTACTCCAGCAACAATTTGCAATGACACCTATGAAATGTTGTCTATCAGTGAAATTCAGTGGACTATCAGTACCCAGGAGCACAAGTGGGAGCTGGTCAGGTAGGCACCGTCTACTTGGCACGCACCAAAATTCCATAGTCCTGGAAGGAAACCAGGTGTTCCCCGTAAACCATGTTGTTTACGCAGTGTTCACCACCCTGGTTACAGTGATGGGAACCCTCTCCAAATGCCAGCCTTGAGCCAACCTGTAAACAGGCTTGCAAGGGTTGGCAACCAGGCCTGCCTTCTACTCACCAAATAGGCAACAGCCTGTATGATATCAAAGTGTACTTTATGAAATGTTTAAAAACATGACTTTCTTATAAATGTGGAATGAATATGTGTCAGAGACATTCTACACGTTAGAGGAACATTCTAGATGACTAATGGATTCAAAGATGCTCAGGTACTACAGCTCACCAGGAAAGGCAAAAAGAGATCCTTTTGTTGAGTTAAAGATAAAACTAAATTTCCTACATGGCACTCCCACGAGGATTTGGGGGAGAGGTATTTTTTCTACTGGCGAAAAATCATTTTCAATCTCACCAAACAAAGTATATAGCTTCCAAAGTTTGGTGTATCAACTGTAATTAGCAAACTGTAATTAGTTGCCCTAGTAAATTAGATAGTCTTTGGACAGAACTGTTTGTGCTCCAGTATGGCTCTCAGATGGCTGAAGATACCTTTTGCTTTATTTCTAAGGTCTGAATAATTTGTCCTAACAAGGATATTATATCATGGTTTATCAAGACACTGAAATATCTTGTTTATTCACAACCTAAGAAATATAGACCAGGTCAGCCTGGTCTATATATCAGAGTTCCATGCCAGTCTTTGCCATGTAGCAAGACCCTTTCTCAAAGAAAAAGTGAAATTCTCTCTTGATTCAAAAGCACACATTTCTCTATGTAACAGATGGATTTCTCGTTTTACCCTTTGAAATAATGGATAGAGATTCCCCTAGAGTTCTTTTTTGCCCCCAAATTTGAGACATGAGCTACAACTTAATGGGGACAGGAAAAATTAGGAGAGAGGAAGGGGCCTCTCTCCTTGGGAAGAATAAGTCAAACCTCCATCAAAAAGGCTGAGACTTCGAAAAGAAAGTTGGTTCTGTGTCAAAATTGCTAAGCTTGTGCTCTACTGCTGAAATATATCCCCAGAATCCAAGAGTCAATTCTCTTTCACAGAGCCTAGAAGTGGATAATTAAGGAAAGCTGGTCAAACAATTACTTTAGCTACCAAATAGTATTGGTTTGGTTCAGGTGGTCTGTGTATCTCTCTTGTATAGTTGCCTTTGTTATAATTTTCTCCTTTAATGAGTCCTTTTGTACCCAGTGTGGTGATCTCGTATGGTCACGTGTAGTAATAATTATTGCCAATACATTTACAGTGTTTTATAGTTTATATCATTCCCTTAAACCATCTCATTAATTCTCAAGACAGTCTCAGAAGTAGGTGCCATTGTAACCTCCACTCATGAGACCGTGAACTTGTTCACTGGAAGTGACAAAAGCAGAATGCAAGTCCAGAACCTCTGAGGTCAAATCCTAGGCTGTATCCAGTATTCTCAATGATACATTAATGACCATCCTCTAAGTGCCATGACATTGTTGAGAGCTTTGCATTTCTTGCTGAGACACTCAGACTCGATCTGGAAGGTCCTTGTAGGCATCTATTAAAGCAGCACTTCTCTGTGGAACACCAATATTTAAAGAGCAGACAGAGGAAGGAAAGCCTGTGAACAAGGCTCCATTCAGTTGTACATATATGTGTAACTATAACCCACCTACATACCAGAGAAGGTACCAAGTTTCCAGCAAAGTGTTGTCCAAGGTAAAATACCTCCCTTAATATACCAAGGATACAATTTGTATTTGCCACATATTTATTCAAACCAATACATTTCTGTTCCACAAAACATAGATATTAACTGAAAATAGTAATATTTCTATCAGTTCTATAGCAGCTGTGAAGTGCAAGGCACTGTTTTTAGCAGTACAATAATAATAAGCAACCTTTACCTTGAAATCTTCATCGTTTTTTCTAGTACGGCTCATCAGTGTGGTCCTAAAAGCTGCCAGCATGGAGGTCTACAGTCCTGCTTTGCTTATTTTTTTTTCTTTTGATGGTAGTGGGGTCTGCACTCAGGGCCTTGTACTTGTGAGACAGGTTCTCTACCATTGAGCCATCCCCACCTCCAGCATTGCTTTTGTTTTTTAATCCTTACGTAGAGGTGGTGATCCAGCTTCACACATGGGATTTTGAGTGTTGGAAGTTAGGCAACCCTACTTGGGAAAGAGAATGGGAAAATGAAAAGAGCCTATAAAGCATTCAAGTAGGAATTAATGCACTGTACTTTGCTTGTCTACAGGACCACAGGTAATTGTAAGGTGCTTCCCAGGGTAACAGATCATGTCTACCTTTGGTTTGCTGAGCAATGATAATCAATGGCGATTCTGAGGCTTTCCTTGTAATTTTCTACTCAAGAGCATGGGCACTGTATCATACATTAGCAAACAGAACATTTCCAATGTGCTTTTATGGAATCCAATTGATTTCTATTGTTGTTTCTTTTTGTTTTTAACAGAGAAAAATCTTTGCCGGAAATGTAGTGAAAACTGCAAGGCATGTACTGATTACCATAACTGTACAGAATGCAGAGATGGGTTAAGGTAAGAGAGAGGAGGAGTTCATCAAACACAACACAGCACAGGGAGCTTCTTGTTGCAAACAAAATGTAAAACATAAGAATAAACAAGTAAATAAATAGCCCTCTTACCATCTATCCTTGATCTGAATCCCACTACAGCACTTGACTGCTATTTGCGTTATCTCTGCCATTAGATGTGAAACATTGGAATCCATCTTGGCTCAGGAAGGGTTATAAACTAAATAAATTCTCTGTGGAAAAGATGTCTCGTAGATACCAGTCAATAAAAATGACCACGCGACAGGCATCCGTTGGGCTTTTGACCCACATCGTGCCAGTCAAGGATTACTAGGCAGGTAATGCCAGTGAATTATATTTAATCCACCTGATTAATTCCTTGGATGGGGGGAAAGTTATTCCCTTATCTTCATTATTTCTCTGCACATACCCAGTCATTTGCTTATCTTAAGTACCTCAGGCTTGGTTCCGTTCTGCTGCTGTCTGCACATATATTTAACACCAGGAGACTTTCTTATTGAATGGCTGACTTGCTCGCTGCTGAAGCTGGTATTTGGTAGACTCTATAAGAAAACAATGTGCAGTTGAAATGAACTTGAAGCTTCTTGCCCTCAGGAGAGAAGGTCAGATCATGCAGGGTGGGGAGTTAGACTCTGTCTCTACTTGGAGCTAGAATTCTCCCACACTGGATTCCTTTTACGTAGAGACAGTAATTTTATTTCCACTTGATCAGAAGCGAAATCCGCAGGGTCCAGGCAGTTCTTCCCAATGGTCAGTATTGGAACATTATTTTCATTTACATTTATTGATTATTTGTAGCTTTATTCCTTTTTTTTTCCTATATATGCACTTAACATTAGTTTGTTTAGTCCCTTTCATCTCAACACTTCAGTCTTGAAAAATTTCTGTCTGTTTAGTCTCCTAATTCTTCTTGGAGAAGCAGCAGGGTGGTATAATAGAAATAAAGAAGTCAGATGTGGGCTCAAATCCTCCTCTGCTGTTTATTAACTGAGTGATTTTGATCAATTCTATTACCCACACTGGCTTATCTATAAAATGGTGATAATAATCTCTACTTTGCTGGATTATGATCAAAATAAACCACGCTAACATTTATGAACCAGTATTCCAGCATCTGGTATATAATTGGTCCATAAGAAACAAAATTATTTAAATTATTTCTTAAAGAACATCTTACAGAGTAAGCTAAACCATGCCAATAGAAATATGAGAGTCATAGATGTAATTTTAAGTACACCAGTAGCCATATTAAAAGCTGTAAAAAGATACCCAGGAAATTGATTGTAATAAAATATTTTATTTAACCTGATATATCCAAAATACTATCATTTCAGCATGTGACCAATATAAAAAATGATTGGTGAGATATTTTATGTTCTTTTTTGTTTTTATATTAAGTCTTTGAAATCTGGTATATATCTTCATAAATGTATCTCATTTCTGACAATAATTTTTATGAGAAATCGCTGCATTTAGATGTTTTAAATCTAGTTGAGAGAGTAGATTTTACATGGATAAGATATTCCAGTTGTACTCAGAAGTTTGTCAATAACTGAATCAGTACAAATTTTTCAAATTTAGACCTACATTTTACAAATTCAGTTCATTGGCTAGCTACTCTAGCCACTTTTCAAAGGCTCAGTAGCCCCTGTGGACAGTCTATCCAAGAAAGAAGGAAGGCTTTCCCAATACCAGGCTCCTAGGCCTTGTGGTTTTGGAAGCAGAGCCAAAAGCTTCAATGTTGTGACGCTCTGCTGTACATCTGCCTTCATTCATCCCGTAACAAACACACAGTGTGACCTCTCTGATGAATGGATGCCAACCTTAGAAGCACTGTCCTTTCTCAGAAAAACTGCAGCTTTTTTAAAACTGCTAAGTTTTTTGGTGGTCCTTATTTCCTCCCATGAAAGGATCCATTTAATGCAATGTCCTTTTTTTTTTTAGTGCTGTAGAAAAGGAAAGAACCTTTCTTTTAGTGGCATTTTAAATGACAGCTCTCAGGCCAGCAAAAAGGTCTCTGAATGGTGCACTCTTTCAGTAAAGCTACCCTCTGTCTCTCTGAGTCTCCTCACATTTTCCTAAGGGCTTCTAGGGTTGACCATGTGGCCTCAGGAGACCTGTAAATTTTTAAATAGTGGCTAAGAACAAACAGAAAAAACTATCTATGCATAAAATCTGGGAAGAAAATGAATTAAAATGCTCATGAGTATTTGGGATTTTTTTTCACCTACTTGTTTTTTCTTTCCCAATTTCTTTAATGAGCATAGAGAAAGTAAATTTTAATTTTTAAAAGTAATATGATGATCTACATGTAATAAATGCTTTGATGTCACATGTCCTGTCAACAATAATAAACTCTTTTTAGTATGTACATATATATAATGAAAATGAGAAGCAAACAAAACAGTTAGCATGACCCGTATCCAGAGCAGACAAGCAAGATCAGAGCAATATAAAGAATCTAGAAAAAGAGAACTGTGTTTCCTTAAACACAATCTCGAGTGTCATTACTTCTCTTCTTAGTTTCCAGTCCTACTAATTGGGATTGCAATATTCAGTAAGTAATATTTTATATTAAGTATTTTCAATTCTATGTCTTTGGTTTATTAAGAATCAATCTGTACACTATAAAAAATATTGTAGCTTAGAGAAATTAGAAGAGATTAAGAATACACATTCTGGCAACTTGATACTGTCTCATAGTACTAGGTAGAAAAGAAATACTGAAAAATATAACCAAGAAAAGACAGGGTGTTTGAGGAAGCAGCACCATTTAGATAGGTAATTCTGCCAAACACACCATTAGAGTGTTTCAAATGAATAAATCAAGAAATAGGCAAAGGTATAAGAGTGTGTGTGTGTGTTTGTGTGTGTGTGTCTGTGTGTGTGTGTACAGTGTACGCACGTGGGGTGCCAGGATTAAATCCAGGTCCTCATGTGCACTAAGCACTTTCTTTAACCTCTGAACAAGCCCAAGAATTTTTTTGTTTTGAAGGTTAAAATCAGAAACCAAAAACATAGTAGTAGAAGGTTAAAATCAGAAACCAAAAACATAAAAGGAGTGTGGGCTGGTCAGGATTTGTATTACACTTTTATCCAGTTGTAATTCATTTTACCTTGTATTCTTACTGCATTTAGAATTATAAGACAAGTTTTAAGTCACTGTGGAGCAGGTCTGAGTATGAGGGAATTGCTAGGTATGTTGTTGGGCATTGTGATTGTTTTATCAATCAGATACTTCCTAAGATCTCTGGATTGTAAGATGCTGAGCAAAGTAGGAGTGTGTGCCAGTCTAACAAATTTAGGAAAATATCCTCAGAGCTTAGCAACATGTTTATATGCTGCAGACATCATTACAGCTACCAAGAGGGAAGAAAAGAGAACACAGGGCCATTTCCCTTGCTTTGATGCCTTGCCAAATCCACTGGTCTCTAAGGCGTTTGGATTTGTTAATATGGAGACTGGGGAGTCGTTGCTGTTTTGCCTGGACCACAACAGGCTGCTCATCACTTCTTTGTGTTCTCCCAGCCTGCAGGGAACACAGTGTACTATCACCTGCGAAGACGGACGCTTCTTCAACGGCCAGGACTGCCAGCCCTGCCACCGCTCCTGTGCTACTTGTGCTGGTACCTTCTCCTAGTTCTTCTGTGAATTTTCTTGTTGCTAATTTTGCTTTCTGTTTGTCAGGTTCTAGCCATCATTCATGCAATCCAACCAATAAGTTTAAAGGAAATGAGGAGGAGTGCATTTCTCTTTCGATAATCATGCGTGTAGTCTCATGGAAAGTCAACTATCACCACCCTGTCTCTACTCAGAAACTTACAGATCCCAGTGGCATCTCTTTCTTGTTCCAAAGACAGCAGATGTTTTTAGCAAATAGGTTTGATTTAAAATAGGCAGAGCCTCCCTCTTCCCACCCAAAGGAAAGTAAGAAAAAGCACAAAATTAAATGATGACTTAAAATTATAGCAGGTTAATGCTATTTTCACAGGCTGGTGTGAAGAAGCCCATTCTGCAGCCCTTGCTGAGGCTTTGTCTCTGTTTTTGCATTTGTCTGTGTGAAGGGGCTGGAGCCGATGGATGTATTAACTGCACAGAAGGTTATTTCATGGAGGAGAGGAGATGCGTGCACAGCTGCAGTATCAGCTATTACCCACACTGCTCCAGAGAATGCATACAAGTCCTGCAGAAAGTAAGTGCATCTGCCCCTGCCCCACCCCAACCCTGGCACTCAGCACCTGGGTCCTTTCTAGGACTACCTTCATAAATAAGGAGAAAACAGAATTTCGAATGATTAAATAAAGTTTAATCATTTACCTCTGGGCACTGCTTGATAGCTTTACCCAAGTTATCTGATATTTTTTGCCTCCAGAGAACCTTCAAACTTTTGAAGTAGCATTTCTGTTCCAAGAGATGTTGTATCCTTCCAGTAACAGTGTCAACCTGTTCCATTTTCTTTAATGTTATCCAGCCTACCAATTACTGTAAGAAAAGATTTTGTGTCCTCTTGCAAGGAAGATTAAGATTATCAGGTTGATAGTAAGCACACCTCCTTGTGGGAACGGATTGAAAAACTTAGGAATGTGTCAGATGGGAGCCATCTGCAAGGATGGTGAGTACAACTGCTTGTCTTGATTGCTGAACAAAGCATGATCTTTACTTTAAGGTCTAACCCATTTCCATTTAATAAAAAAGAGAAGAAAAGAAACTAACAAGCATGCATCAGATAGGACATTCATTCATCTTGAACTTAAGCTAATAATGGGCTGGATATTTTATTTATTTACTTACTTATTTACTTATTCATTTATTAATTTTTGAGCCAGAGTCTCACCATGTACCCAAGTTAACCTAGAACTTGCTTTGTAGCCCACGCTGGCCTCCAACTTTGATCCTCCTGTCTCAGGTCCCAAGTGCTGGAATTGCCATCATACTTAGCTGTTTCTTTCTTTTTTTTTAAAAGAAAAAATAAACTAGCCATGGTCCCACTGATCAGGATTTTGATTGGATTGGACTGGGATGTAGGCTGAGAACAGATATTTTTAGAAGCATCTCAAGTGTGTCTAATGTGCAGCCTAGTTTGAGGACCACTGTACTGCTCCTGTCCCCTTGACAGTTGGCAAATGCAAGTTCCCTCACTTCTCTAGCCTCAGTTTCCCCATCTGGAAAATTAGTAAATTTAAATTTTTCCAACTCTATCACTTAGTGAACTTTGATTCTACATACAGTTCATGCTGAGGGTATCCAAAAATTTTTCTAAGCCTTATGCAGAAAATACATCTCAATGATGTAGAAAGAAATTATTTGAACTGTTATTTAAAACATCTTTGAATTGTTCTAAAAATAGAAACTGTGCTTCCTGAACAGTCCTAGTGATGAGATCAAAGCCCTAGGGCTCCCCAACCCCACCTCCCCACTACATCTTTTGAATGCTTCATCTTCTGGAAATTTCGGAAGAGGCAGCACAGTAGTGCAGTTGGCAGAATATGGACTTAGGAGTCAAAATGTTGCAATTGAGCTACATTGGAAGCTCAGAAGTGTTAAACTTGTTTCTGAGCTCAGATCTGCAAGCTGGTTATAAACCTCTCTGGGCCTTATCCTTCTCATCTGCACAAAATGAAGAAGATAATTTCCCTATTAGGAACCTCAAAAGGCCCCAGAAAGAATGAGGTACCTGAGGGCACTGGTAGAACATCACTATGGTCTCATTTCCTTGGAGCATCATAGATGACTGCATCCTTGCAACTTTTCTGATACAGGATTAGTCTGACAGAGATGAACTGGGCCCAATCAGGCTCTCTATGCACTGAGATTTCCTGGCCAGGGCTAATTCTCAGTATATCACACTGGGGTGACAGACCTGAGGTGACGTACCTTAGGGGACAATCTAAGTATCAACTTTAAGTTACCAACAGGTGCCTCCTTAAAAGCATGGTTCCTTTATATCTGAATACAACCAGAATATTTTCGTAAATCAGTAATCAAAAGTTGAGGAAGACTTAAGTGATTGATAAAGGACTTATACTGTACCTTGAAGTTTTCACCTCTAGCATGTGGTACCAAACCTTTCAAAGTTTGTGATGTTTTAACTATTTTTTGCTAAACCATGGTGGATGTGGACTACATTGGGCCAAATGGCCACTTGGTAAAAGAGGATTGTCAGGATTGTGGGCAAAAGTGGAAAATGAAGAACCATAATTTGCAGTGAGTTCATTTTTGGGTCAGTACAAGAATGAGATGCTTGATGGCTCACTGGGCTTTCAAATCACATGGCAACTGCCTTTAAGGATGTGCTATTTGTTCCCTTTCAACTGTCATATTTCCATGACTCTAATGCATACTTTCTTTTTAAACCTTCTCACATCTCTGATATCAGATGCATCATATCATTCATGGAAGCTTACTACTGGTTCTGACCAGCAGTCTGATAGGACATAACTATCACTGTCTGGATATGAGGCTTCAGCACAGAGACATCCATTGAACTGAATTAATAAGCACATAGCTACTTCTTGTGTGGCATTTAATATCAATTGAACAGAGCTTCAAAAGAGTAAACTATTGTCCAATATTCAAAGGATCGCTGCATAATCACTGAAACAATTTATATAACAAATACTTTTATTAAGTATGCAATTAAAATTCTGATAACAGAACGTTGTGTTGCAGTTCAATAAGAAGCATTTTTTTCCTTTGCAATACATAAAATAATGGTGCATCTTAAATCCTGTGTTTTGGAGTCAATGAAATATGGTACAAGTGGCTGTACATTCTCTGCTCTAGGTAATTCTGGAAAGAAAATTTCCTAACTTATGTTATTATTGATTTCTAATTTATCCTTTTTCCAATCTTTTTTTCCTTTCACAAATGGATACCAATCACATTTACCGCTGGACTGCAATATCTCTCCTTGAAAAAAACCATGCTGTTGACTGAAATCACTTTGGGTGGACCAAATTTCCTCCTTGTTGACTGCTCCTGAATGACTTCTTCCAACCCCCCCAAATCTGCCTCTCTGGCCAATCAAAACCTCCCTCCGTGCGTGCGTGCGTGCTTGCGTGCTTGCGTGCGCGCATGCATCACGCTGCTCTCCACCTCCACTCCCCACTCTGTCTCGCTGACTTCCGGAAAAGCAACGGAAGAGTCCTGGGCAGAAGGAGGCTTCTGTATGCTTGTGAAAAAGAACAATCTGTGTCAGCGGAAGGTTCTTCAACAACTTTGCTGCAAAACATGCACATTCCAAGGCTGAGCAGCCAACTTAGAGTTCTTTGTTCCTGTAGACTTACAGAGTATTCAATATTATTAAAAAGAAAAAAAGCCAAAAAAAAAAAAAAAAAAAGAAAGCCACCTCTCTTTCTTGCTATCTTTTTTTTCCTCTCTCTCTTTCAAGTTTGTGCAGGGAGATGGTGAACTGTTTCGTCAGAACTTAAATGGAAAAAAGAATAAATCTACAACAAGCCTACCTTTTATAACTGGGTGTTTAAGTGCTATAAGCACATAGCTACTTCTTGTGTGGCATTTAATATCAATTGACAGAGCTTCAAAAAGTAAACTATTGTCCAATATTCAAAGGATCGCTGCATAATCACTGAAACAATTTTATGGTACAAGTGGCTGTACATTCTCTGCTCTAGGTAATTCTGGAAAGAAAATTTCCTAAACTTATGTTATTATTGATTTCTAATTTAAATCCTTTTTCAATCTTTTTTTCCTTTCACAAATGGATACCAATCACATTTACCGCTGGACTGCAATATCTCTCCTTGAAAAAAAACCATGCTGTTGACTGAAATCACTTTGGGTGGACCAAATTTCCTCCTTGTTGACTGCTCCTGAATGACTTCTTCCAACCCCCCCAAATCTGCCTCTCTGGCCAATCAAAACCTCCCTCCGTGCGTGCGTGCGTGCGTGCGTGCGCGCGTGCGCGTGTGCGCGCATGCATCACGCTGCTCTCCACCTCCACTCCCCACTCTGTCTCGCTGACTTCCGGAAAAGCAACGGAAGAGTCCTGGGCAGAAGGAGGCTTCTGTATGCTTGTGAAAAAGAACAATCTGTGTCAGCGGAAGGTTCTTCAACAACTTTGCTGCAAAACATGCACATTCCAAGGCTGAGCAGCCAACTTAGAGTTCTTTGTTCCTGTAGACTTACAGAGTATTCAATATTATTAAAAAGAAAAAAAGCCAAAAAAAAAAAAAAAAAAGAAAGCCACCTCTCTTTCTTGCTATCTTTTTTTTCCTCTCTCTCTCTTTCAAGTTTGTGCAGGGAGATGGTGAACTGTTTCGTCAGAACTTAAATGGAAAAAAGAATAAATCTACAACAAGCCTACCTTTTATAACTGGGTGTTTAAGTGCTAAACAGCCAGCATCACAGAGACAGTATTGTATGACCAAAGTATTTGATGCCAAAATTTGACGTTAAAGTAATGATTTGATTTCCTGCCCTGGGTTTGAAGGTCCATTTTTTTTTTTTACCATTTACTTGCTTGTTTCCCCTTTGAGATGCCTAAAAATATTTTTCCAAAACATCACAAGAATGTACATAGGTCAAAATAAAACAGAAAGCTCTTGCATCAATTATTTCTCATGCTTGAGCCCACTGCTGGGGAAATGACAGGCATCTGGACCTGGGGGCATTAAGAACATCCTATACAGCAGTGTTCAGTATCATTTGTCTTAGTATTTCACAGTTAAGCATTGAAATTTCCACACATAGTTTACTTCATGCATTATGTACTGGTGTTTTGCATTTTACTCACCTGATAAGTCTGCTCCACTGGTTTCATCAGATACACTTGCTGCTACTGGCTTTTCCATCGTAGATTGGGTTATTTTATACACAGCTGGTCAAGTGGGATTGTTCTATAGAGTCAAATCAGTGATGGAAAGAATGCAGAGGTACAATGAGACTGACCCGGCTCCCTTAAAACCTGGAGAGTTAACTTCATAGACCCTGCACAATCTCTCGGTGCTATCTAGCCATTATCCCCATAGCATTTTTTAAAGACCATCAGAAATTCCGTTTGTCATGGTGGAAAGCATTTTGGATGTGATGCAGGAAATTTCTTCCTGGAGTCAAAAGTTTCTAAGAGGTCCTGTATTTTTTAAGAAATGGAATTTATTTAAATATATTTAAGCTCGTGCTCATGTTGGCCGGGCACTGTTTTTCAATGGTGCTTATTAGAAGTCTTTTCATCTTGTCATTTTGAGAAAATAAAACTGGAAATTGAATATGGGCGGCATGATTGTACCCTCCTGCTTCTGTATTTTCTCACTCTTCTGTCCCTGTAAAACCAGGCCATGCTCTTACATGGCTTGTCCACTGAATGTCATTGAGTTTATCTGGGTTTGTTTTTTGTTTGCTTGGGGCTTTTGTTTGTTTATTTGTTTGTTTTAGAAATTTCTTCACTGGTCTTCTATGATTCCATAAACATTTCATGGACTCTAGCAAAATGAATTATAAAGAAATTGTTTTTGATCAGTGGTGGGAAATGAGAAAAACGTATCTTTTTACAGTTTCTTTTTGTAAGGGATGGTAGACTGATACTAAATTTCTCCACTTTTCATATAGAAGCTCCATGGTGGCTTTATTTGCTTTGGGAGGGACCAGCCATTT